GCAAATTGTACTTATGACAGCAGAAGGTTCAATTTGGAATTACAATTCAGAGAGATTCGAAAGTGCTGTATTCTTTTTCGATACCGGTGCTCAAAGGACCCTTATTCAAGAAGATTTCGCAACTAAGCTAGGCCTCCCAAAAATGAAAACTGAGACCTGCGTCATGTCTGGGATCGGTGGACATACCGAAACCTTCAACACCAACGTGGTACATTTGAAAATAGGAACAGCCTACGGGAAAGACCTCGAGATACTAATACAAACCAAACCAGTTCTTACGAACGGTTTTCCAGCCGTGAAACTTTCTCCTCTTGACCTACAGTACCTACAGGAAAGAAAAATACGACTGTGCAATCCGAATATACGAGGAGAAAAGCAAACGCCACAAATATTGGTAGGCCTCGATTACTACTACAATTTCATTCTTGACGACGGCGACACGCACCAAATTCCATCAGGACTGCGTATGGCGAACACAATATTCGGTCCAACAATATATGGACGAGGAACGACCAGTTCATCCGAGTTCTCCGCGCCCACATCAGCATCAGTTTCTTACAATATGACCGTGATTGCAGAGTCTGAAAAAGAACTCTGAAGAAGCTGTTTGAGCTCGAAGGAATGGGGATAACATCCGAAGAAAATCAGGAAGAAAATGACTTCCTCAACTATTTCAAAGTGTACTCAAAACAAATATCGTTCAAAGAAGGATATCTTACTGCTCCGTTTCCTTTGAAACCCAACATACAAGACCTCGCAGATAATTATTCAACCGCTATACGTCGACTTGTAAGCCTTCATAAACAGCTTGAGGCTAATCCTACTCAGAAAGAATGGTACTGCAAGATACTACAGCAATACCTCGACGAAGACATCATAGAATATGCTACAGGGGAGATTCCAGACTCCGTTGGCCTGTATTATATGCCACATTCAGGAGTATGGCGCCCCAATAAGCCTCGCCCGCTGAGAATAGTTTTTGACGCCTCATCAAAAAGAAAAGGCCAGCTATCGCTAAATGATGTGACGCTCAAAGGAGAGGCGCTCGTGAACAAGATCCACGACATACTCGTAGCAAGCAGAATGAATAAGATCATCATAACCTGCGACATCGAAGCCGCCTTCACTCAGATTAGGCTACAGCCCAACCATAAAGATCTATGCCGGTTCCTCTGGTTTCAAGACCCCGACCTGCCGCCCACAAGGGACAATATAGTGCACTACAGATTTAAAAGAGTTCCCTTTGGAGCTAAGCCATCTCCCAGCATTTTAAACATGTGTCTTCTGACCTTTTTGAAATCAAAGGAAACTCCGCTTTCGCAAGAAGTTATCGACAATCTATACGTTGACAACGTACTTCTTACTGCAGAATCACCTTCGGAAGCCATAGCGAAATATCAGGAGAGTAAGAGCCTTTTCGCCGAGGTTGGAATGAACTTGAGAGAATACGTCTCCAATTGCGACGAGGTGAATAGCTCTATTCCGAAGCAGGATCAAGCTCCCAATGGCATAGTCAAGATACTTGGTGTTGAATATAATACAGAATCTGACAGGTTCAGCATCACCCTAAGTTCAGTAAAAAGGTATCCTTGACAAAGAAAGATATCGTCAGTCAACTAAATTCTATCTACGATCCCATCGGAGTTGCAGGCCCACTCACAGTCAGATTGAAACATCTTATGAGGGAAATCTATAACAGTGGAATTGGATGGAAAGACCCAATACCAGCAGCCCTCGCGAAGGAGTGGTCTCAAACTTGTCAGGATCTCGACAACACAACTATTTTGCTGCCGCGCCCTGCTTTCGGCGCTCACAAGGGAAAGAACACTACCCTGTATGTTTTCGCAGACGCCAGCGCTAAAGCAATTGCAGCGTGTGCTTACTTCTCCATGAAAATCCAACTGTCATCACACCACTGATCAGCGGAAAAACACGGCTGACTCCCAAAAAGAACAGGCAGACAATACCGAGGCTAGAAACTCTAGCACTTTTGATGGCAATGCGCCTTGCTAAGAACATCGTAGCGATATGTGAAAAACAGCTCAAACAGGTCCATATACTCAGCGATAGTGAGATAGCCCTCTCTTGGATAAGATCCGCTCGTGACCTACCCATGTTTGTCGAAAATCAAAAGTGTCGCATCTTCAAAGAGAAAAGTACAATTGAACGCAAGGGTATACCTGTGCAGTTCTATCACGTGCCAACGGAAAAAAATCCAGCTGACGCCGGAACACGTGGAGTAGACACTGATCAGATTCAAGACCTACCATGGATCTACGGTCCTCAATGGTTGAGCGAGCAATCAGCCTCTCTACATCTGAAGCCTATGAACGAAATCCTGGAACCTGATCTTCCGGATGATGAGAAGTGTGCTAAAAGCTTCGGTTCAGAATTCCATGTCGTCGCAAAAAGCAAGACTGAAAGCACCAGTTGGTTGCCTCTTTCGAAGTTTTCTCGTTGGTCCACTGCTGTCCGAACTGTTGCACGAGTCGGAAAAGCAATTCATCAGTGGGTGAGTAAGACCAACAGTAGCAAAGAGAAGAGTAGCTTGATTCAGCTCACTAATTTGGACAAATTCAATCCGGATTTTGAGATTACAGCAGACGATCTTTCCGTCAGCGAGACCATCATTTTTAAGGAAGCCCACAAAGAAATTTCAACGAAGGAGTTGTCACGACGTTTTCCACAAAAAAAGATCTTTCGTGACATCCATGGTATCATTCGAAATCAATCTCGCTTGCAGAATGCTGCCATCATGTACGATACCAAAAATCCCATCTATGTTGAAAAAGATTCTGACCTAGCTCGCCTGCTTTTAACAGACATTCATGTGAAGAACGCGCATTGTGGCAAAGATCACACTCTTTGCATTGCAAGACAGAGGTTTTGGATTCCCCGCCCGTCAAGCGCATTCAAGAAGTTCCTACAGAAGTGCGCAATTTGCAAAAGGTACCAAGGGCTTCCTTTTGGAGCTCCGGAAATGCCTCCGTTGCCTAAACTGACAGAATGGTACGAACTGAGCCTTTCGAGAACGTTGGCTGTGACTTTATGGGACCATTCCTCTGTAAAGAAAACCAGAAGTATTACATCTGCTTGTACACATGTTTGACTACACGAGCCATACACCTTGAAGTAGTTGAAGATATGTCTGCCAAAACTTTTCTCAATTCTTTCATCCGCTTCATTTCGCGTAGAGGAGTCCCAAAGTTGATTCGGACTGATTGTGGAACTAATTTTAAGCTCGGTCAACACGTTATTGCGTCCATGCACGATTCATCCTCCAACGATAGTTCATTGATGACATACAGCGCGAACCATGGAATACGGTGGATTTTTAATCCTCCCAATGCACCTTGGATGGGTGGCGCATGGGAACGAATGGTTGGCACAGTCAAACGAGCATTCGCTAAATCCATTGGACGACGAAAGTTAAGCTACTCCCAGTTGTATACAACGGTGACCGAAATTGAAGCCATCGTTAATACACGTCCGCTCACAAGCTGTTCCTCCAGTGTCGATGAACTTCCTATCAGGCCGGTCGACTTCCTCCAACGTAGCCTCCGATACGCAATTCTTTCCACCAACGACAACGATCATGAAGATCCGTCGTTTGATCCTTCCCTCTTGCAATCCGTCGCTCAGGTGAAACAAGCCCTGGAGCATGCGGAACGGGTCGTAGAGAAATTCTGGGAACGATGGCACACCGAGTACCTTACCCAACTGCGGGAACTTCAAACAGTGAATCGGAAACAGTCAAGACACATGAAATGGCGAGAGCCCAAAGTTGGTGAAATCGTTCTTGTGGAACAAGAAAACATTCCTCGAGGCAGTTGGTGCTACGGGAAGATCCAAGATGTAGTAAAAAGCAGTGATGGACTATCAAGATCAGTCAGGCTCCTAATGCCTAACAAGCACGTTTGGCATAGACCCATAACGAAAATTTATCCTTTGGAGATCTCGTCTTCAACAGATGACATCACAACTCCTCCACAAAATACAGAACAGGAAAAAACATCAAGTGCAGGACATGAAAGAGCATCTAGTACGCGTCCCACACGTGAGGCAAAACGTAAGGCCAAGAAGGCAATCGAAAACACCTTCAAAGAACTCGATGAAGAAGGCACGTCTCTTTGTCAGAGTGGCCCATCGTCGCACACCCATATACCATCCACAAGTCGTAGTATTCTTCCGATAACGATGATAGCGATGATCACTCTGCTGATTCCTGCAACACTAGCGGTGCCTGAGCTCGTATGTGAAAAGAGTTCACTTCTGGTACTACCGCCAAAGACACCCTTTGAACTGTGTATCAGAAACATGTGCCGTGTATTCACGCAGGCTACTGACGTTCTTACTTTCAAATTACCATCCTCGACATACAGAATCAAAATCCCCATCGTGATGAGATACACCTCAAACTCAACTTTCAAGCATACTGAGGCCTCATGTACTCTTCCAGATGTTTGTGAAGTCTCGCGATCCCTGTTGACAAAACGCCTGATTGGGAACCCGCACTGTTGGCCAATAGGTGCTTTGATATCAATTGCGCTTGTAATATACATCGCAATTTTCTCATTTTTGCTGATTGTCAAATTTATGCGAAGAAAACGTGACCACCCAAACGTTTCCAGGGAGGTAAATTCAAATATCATCTCAACGAATCACGAGAGTCGTGATAACACCACATCACCGGAACCTAAAACCGAGCGCATAACGCTGCATACGTTCACCCCAACACGGCTCACTCCCACGGCGTTAGTAACTGCTATCGTCATTCTAAACATGGCGTTGACAGTGAGCTCATGTCAACACGGTTACGCCCGGCATAATACCGACATGGTATGTAGTTCCCCAAGTAACTGTTCGTTCCACTTTTATCGGGAGGTTATGTTCAACGAGCTTACACATGTAGCATGTATAAATATCCTTCACGCCAACAGAACAGTGGGGACTATTCGCATAGAAAGACTGGCGGTAGAAATGACTTGCTCTCGACATACCTTGTATTTCACAAGAGACACAGAGCCCAGAACCTTCAGCGTAACCAGGTGTGCCCTATTTGGATCATGCTCCAATGATACGTGTTCCCAGATCACACCTGAAAGTCAAATTGATGAGCTGATTGACGCCTCGCAATACCCGGGATATTCGGGCTGCGAATACTCCTGTGGCGGTCTCATCTGCGGTTGTCCACTCCCTCTTCCGTCTTGCTCATTCTACCGTATAGTAAACGTTCCCGAAAAGTGAGCAAGTGTATGAAATCGTCAGGTGCATGGCATGGAAGCCTGTTGTACGACTGAATGTTCGGCTCTCCCTGCTGAACAGAATTACACAGAAGACGCTTACTTTGAGGCCATATGTCGAACAAGACGTAGAAGGAATGTTCTTCACTGTTATATCGCTTTCTCCATCAACAAATCCGCTACTATCCAGAAGATTAGCAATCGCCAACAATGAAACGTTTGCCGTGCCCGAAAATGTGAACATCCCCGTTGAATGTCCTACTAATACAAGTGCAACTACGGGTTTCGCTGACTGCAAAAACAAAATACTATGCAACTGTGACGTTGAAGTGTCACCTGTACGATGCAATTGCCCCAGCGACTCACTGCGCATAATAAGAGCAGATAAATCCAACGTTTTCCCCATCTCGACGCCATTTCTCAAACTCGAGAACAAAAACCGTGAGATAGTGGCGATCTCGAAAAAAGAAGAGGTGACTGTCGCAATAGAGTCTGTCTCTATTAGAGAAAGTGCGGCGCTATATGTTAAGCAAAACTGCAGCGTTTCAGTCAACAGAATAATCGGTTGCTACAGTTGCCAAGAAGGAGCTCGTATCAATGTCTCTTGTCAAGCCGAAATACAGTCATGGCTGATAGTTCAATGTAGCACCATCGTTTTCTCCATTGAATGCAGCCCATTCAACGAAACAACTATGGTTCGTCTCGATTTCTCGCGAGCCGTGATCGACGAAAAGTGTCACACACGATGCAATGACCATACGGTAGAAATACCCCTCCAAGGCATTTTGGAATACCTCCCACTCTACAGTGATGAACAAATATTCGATTCACACAGAAACTCTTGGAAGGGAAAAATTGACTGGTTACACGATTGGAAATTTCCGGACTTTCATCCCATCTTACTCACGGTCACACACCATTGGAGGGCAGCAGTAGCAGTGCTTGGCTCATTTACGATCATAGGAGCCGCGACGTACCTTCTAGGGCCGTGCGTACTCACGACAACACTGCACTTAGCATCTCAATTCATGATCCTGCTGACAAAACTTACTGTTTTAATTGCCTCCAAAATGTTAACTTTTGCCGTGAAAACTACCAGCTTTCTGTTTCATAGCATCGTCGATGGCAATTCCAGTCATTAACATGACCTATTTAATGAGCCATTACCTTTAGTCAAATAAAGTAGTAATTCCTAGGGATCCCCCCTCCACTCATAGAAGCTCGCTAGCCGCAAAAAGAAGGTTGTAAGATCGTTGAGATGCTAAGAGCAGCATGTTTTCACTCCCCGACGGAAAACATAGCCAACGTTATCTGCAGTGCATATAAAGATCCATCTCGGACAACTAGCAGTTCAAACCCTTATACTGCGTCCCAGATGGACGAAGTAGACGTTGCCCTACATATCGAGCCATTAACGGAAGCCGTAAAGGAACTCAAGGACCAGCTCAATGTATTCGCTATTTCCATCAACGCGAAACTTGACGCAATCGTAGAAACCCTCACCCGTCAGGCGGACAACGTCAACAAAAGGCTCGACCAACTCATGGAACGCACAAAGCCAAAATCAAGCTGTCTCTTTTGCAGCATTGATGATAACAAGGACAACCATCGAACAGGGAGGTGTTGTAGATACCCAGATCCAGTGTCTCGAGCAGTTCAGGCGGCAAATCTACAGCTGTGTAATCGTTGTCTCCAACCCCGACACCCTGGCGATTGTGGGGTACAGTGCACGTTTTGCGGCAGAGACCACAACGTGCTCATATGCCCTAACAAATCGTCTCAGTCGTCCTCTTCATTCAAGAGAAGAAAGATCTGATATATTCATGCTGCGGGCGGAGAGCACGCTGATTGCGTTGCGATCAGCGTTCGTCGTTTTGCATCATCGCCTTGTTTCGCCCTTTTGCTTGTGCTTGGTTGGTGTGGAAAGCAACCGGCGCACAGTCCGCCCCCTGTCGTCCAGCGGGTCTAATGCTGTCTATTCGTTTCTTTCGTTGTCTTCAACTGTGCGCTGGGGCTGATGCCGCATGTTTTCATCTTCCGTATTTCGTCTGCGGTCTGTTGCCGCTTATTTCCATCCGTTGAGTTCTCGCCTTGCGGTCTGAGCCGCCTATTTTCATCGCCTTTCGTTTAGAGATGCTGAAGCGAGCGCGAACCGGAGGAGCGTCCGCAGTGCCCGCGACGCTTGGTACGGTAACAGAAAGATGGACTGCTCCGACGTCGCGATGGGAAGAACAGTTACCGCCATCTGGGGGGCAATGGGAGAGTATCACGTTTACTTTATCTCTTGATAGCATGTTTACTGCCTAGCTATCAGCGCAAGAGGTAATGGATAGTCGTTCCCTCAGATCTAAACCTCCGAAGTCGACTGCCAGGAAGTCGGTAGAGGATTCGTGAACAGCACCCGGTCTCAGATTAAACGGATGATCTGGCGAATGCCGCGCCAGTAACCATCAGAACCTGGCTCGGTCTTCAGCGTTACTGTTGAATGCATGTGACCCAGTTCGGTGAACGGCAGGACGTGCTGTGGTCAGAGGGAGACTACGACGAAATTGCAGTTATTAGCCATCTTTTCTCTAGCTTTCTCAATGTATCCGTAGCAGGATCGGCGATCCTAGCGAAGACAGCCATGGCGGAGCAGCAGCTTCCGAAGAGGGTATTCGCACGACTGGCCATATCACACGGTTACGGCTACTTGAAGTTGCACGGAGAGTACAAGATGCCACTGGTTGTCTTAACGTCATCGACTTGAGAGAGGCCTGTCGGTGTGGAGACGTAAGCGTTCATCGAAAGCGCTTAGACGCTAGTCGTTCCTACCCATACTAAGGTTTTTATGAGCTCTACAGCCGCGTTCTTACGACCAGAGATTCACCACTCTCAAAGGAGGTTCATCATGACGTCAAAAGAGGGTTCGACAGCGACACATCTCGTCAAGTCTTTGCGGCCGCTCCGAGTACGTATGGTCGATGGATGGGAGACAGTGTGGGAGGTGAAGGACGACGGCCAGCAATTCGCACCTTCGGTTTGTATCGTTTCTGAATACTGTTCTAAGACTCGAGCAGCGAGCGCAATGCTGGTGGTTTCGACTGCGCGTGTGGTAAGGTTGGTCTCGCTGGGACCGCGAAGACGTCTTTATGAGAAATGGATAGGTTCGTGATGCCCCTGTCACGTCAACGGATCGAACACACCGATTCGCTACATAGACCGTAGATCGGGAAATAAAATTGGATGAACGATCTGCTCCGAGAGCAGAAGGAAACGAGCGGCAGGGGGGCAGTGTTACGAACATCCAGGGAGTAGGTGGAGAAGAGGTAAGAACATCGCGGCTCCGTGCACTCTTGCGTTCCGCGTTGTTTTCTGTGCCGTATTACGCCTCAGGACTTGAACTCTGGCGAGGCAAGACGAGATGCCCGGTCAGCGTTATCCAACGCCCTGTAGAGAGGACGATGCTAGGAGCAACCCTATACACGCGAGTGCAGAGGAGAATCCGGAGTTCGGAACTACGCCAACGGTCGAAGTTCAGTGACGCTGCCGTTTTCGCTAAGGATTCGAAAATCAGGTGAGCCGGACACGTCATGCGATTTTGTGGTAACCGTTGGACCAGAGCGGTTACCGAATGGATCCCTCAGGACATCAAACGAACTCCTGGACGACCACCGGCCCGATGGTCAGACTTCTTCACGACCTCCTCTGAACGAAAGGAATGGAAGACATCGTGTCCCTTGAGCGAGGAGGGTCCACTGGGTAACTCTGGCACGCGACAGGGACGAATGGAGACGTTGCTAGCGTCCGCTCGAGCAAATCGATGATCAGCGACAAATGACAGGTGATACAGGTGACTTTTTTAAGTGGAAGATAGGGTAGCGGTACTTTTCATGAACAGTTTTAGCGGAGGATTAGACAACCTTTTCTAGTTTGGCTTTTGAAGAGGGTCGTTTCATGGACAGCGGCACCTGGGGGAGGGGGGATCGTGTTTCATAATTTTTCTCGACGCCTCGCTAGACCCTGGCATTAATGTTTTGCAATGGCATGATTGTGATAACACCTCAACGCTTAAATAAACACCTGGGTGGCACATTGCCTGTCATTCCACATGCTGCTGCAGTGACAGCTGCAGAGCAATGGAAGTGATGGTGGCGGGGAAGATAAAGAGGGAAGGAGGAGCGCAATTCTTACGCAGAGAAGGAAGGTTGCGCGGTTGCCGGGGACCAGTATGGTTTTATATGAATCGATGACATGTAATGAAAATACCTACCCGTATCCTTAGTATTGGAGAGTACAATTGAATGCCTCCCCACCCCCAAACCGGAGTTTCCCGCTTAGAAAATGGTGGAATACACTTCTGTCAAATAACTCGTAGCAGTTGCTTGAATTGATATAATTGTTTCTCTGGGGGGACGGTCAATTCAATCGTCAGCTAATGGGGTCACGCCGCGCACGCGGCGGGCAGCGTCGCACGTGGCAAATGGTGCGGCGATTTTTGTATGGGCCTTGGCTCAGCGGTTTGCTAGTGGGGTTCGAGAAATGATATGACCAAAGTTTCAGACATCAGTAAGCCAACAAGAGCCATCTTAAGATCTCCGCAGTTATTTAAGCCTCAGTGTCCAGAGCTTGTACCATGTAGATGTTGTCCTTTTGGACATAATGAGACTTCTTTATTGGGCAACTGCCTCAATTCTTATCAGAGATCGATAATCTGGCTAAATCGGAAAATATACATTCCAAGACGGAGTGGAACGGTGAGGGAAGCAATAACATCAGTATGACAGAATAAGTTTGGAAATAAAGGCAAAGGACAAGGATCCTCCATCGGCTTTACTCTGCTCTATCGACGGTGACCATTTACAACCTCAACTGGACGGGGTAGCTCTTATGGACGCGTCAGGTTTCAACATTGCATGTTTAGCGAGGCTGCCAATGAAACAACAGTTTCCTTTTGTCCAATCATAATGTTGTCTGTACTCCGTACTGCAGCATTCCATGTGAACTGATTCAATGAAAATCACGTTGAAAATAAATTTATACAATAGAGAAATGTCTCTCACCATAATGTGCACGTGGAAAAACAAATCGATGAAAATTCATAAAATGCTACTCTGATTTGTGGTAAAGATAACAACCTGCGGTACTCGCCGTAATTCTTCAAAAATTGATGGGAAAAACGTAGTTCCGCCATTTTAGTTTCTTTTTTTACAACTAAGTATGAAACCAACGTTTTAGAATCTTAAGAATCGCAGAACTCAGCTCATCTCTAATAATTTCTTCCGAGTTATGAAAAGCTTGATCTTCGCGCCATCAAGCGCCGCGCACACGAGTTTCATCTTGAGAAGCAACTGTTTGTAAGTGATGCGCATATATTTCAAGTATGCAACCTGACTGCTCTATAAAAGATGGGTTGCAATACTTGAAATGGAATGGGCCACATACTCATTTAGTCTGGGGCCACTCCACGGTGGAAACTACCTGCGATCAAGCATGTCATCTTATTTTTACCCAAAGGTAACCATAGTTCACGACAGTAAAGAATGTTCGCCCCTACCTTCTCAGTATTTGACGATCCCTTATTTCCTTTTCTCATTTCCATATAACCCCACCTATGCAACCTGACCTTTCCACAGAAGGATAGGTCAGTGGCAGCAGAATGAGTATGAGATTAATCGAATTTTTTTTCCAGATTCCAGGGTCCCTATTGAAGCGGTGAATGAATGAACGTGTATTCGCCTTCTACTATGTCCATATTTTCATACGAAAATCCAAATTTTGTTTTCAACAAGATTAGCAGGCCTATTTTATGAAATTTTCCAAGTGAGGAAATGCCTCGTCGAAATCTGAGGAGGTAGCGGCTGAATCTCTTCACTTTTGTAGACTACGGTCACCTTTGGTTAGAAATAAGATGATATGCTTGATCGCAGGTAGTTGCTGCCGTGGAGTGGCCCCAGACTGAGCGAGTACGTGACGCATTCCATCGCAAGTGTTGCGACCCATCTTTCTATAAAACAATGAGGTTGCGTAAATCATATGTGCACCACTTACAAACAATTACAATTCGGCATGAAACTCTGGTGCATGGCGCAGGCTAAGATAATGCTTTCCTCTTTCCTTAAAAGAATTTTGATAAATGTATCTCTACAAGCTGCGTTCA